TTGCACTGACAAGGGGCAGGCTTGCTTTCTAATTACTGAGAGAGTTCAGCTGGTGTCTTGGCTTTCCATGCCTTTTTACACCTCCCTTTATTCATGTGTTCAATACTTTTTCCCTGTGCCATTCCACATTATTACAAATAACTTGGATCACTTGGGTTGTTACAAACATCTGGTGAAAAWTTCATGTCATTAGCACCTCTAGTAATATATTTACTGAGAAAAATGTCAACGTGTTCAATACTTATTTTACCCACTGTATGTCATGTTGTACAGCAAAATACATTCTTACCAGGACTAGAAGGGGTAGGAGAGACATCTGGGGCAAGCGAGTGAATCGAGGGATCATAGATCTCTAAGTTAACAAATAAAATCTCAATTAAAACTCAATTAAATCCACAGTAGGACACAATCTTCAAATATAAAYGCTTACAATACCTCCAGGTGGATAGCTGACATCTGGAAATGGACATATGTCTGCTGTAAAACAAATACATATTATTAGAAGTAGAACTGACTGAAAAGTAACTTGAATCGTTTCGATCAAAGAGTTTTAAGCATCAGTAATGTTGCATAAAACCTCTTACTTTCAGGTTTGAGTTCCAGTTGCCCAATATCCACATGATACTGCCCTGTGTAGGAATAAGAAAATACATGAAAACATGATAAAAGCACCAATAAATGTGTTCTCTAAAAACTGAAGATTGAACATTTCAGCTTATCCCATTTAGCAAAACATGTGAAACCAATAAACCAGAATTCTGTTAAATGTAATGATGGTGACTGAAGGGCCATGAGTCGGCATAACTGAAAATCTGTTGTTCATGGTGTATTGGAAAATACTTTACAAGGCAAAATACATGGACTCTATTGTATTTACATGCATTCGGAAAGTCAAAATATTTACATTTTATATTTGTATAAAAAGACTTCGTAAATGTGTGGATAGGTAGTTGAAAAATTGCTTTTCATAATCTCTCTCTCTCTCTCTCTCTCTCTCTCTCTCTCTCGTCTTTAAAATAGAAAACAGGAAAGTCGTAGCAATCGAATTTGAACTCAGATTTTTATAAGCCCATTGTTCTATTTCCCACAACTCATGTGATAAAAGAGTTTGTGTTTTTCCCGATATGATAAAAGTCATGCTCTTGCTTTGACCTGAAAATTTGAGTTAACCTGCATTTCTCTGCGAACTGGAAACCAAACCTGTTGCACCAGGTCTTCTGGTAATGACCTTGCTTTCATYGTAAGATAATAGATAAAATGTGAAGTGTTTATCCTGTTTAGCACTTAGCAACCTAAAAAAAAAAACTAAAAAGGTTAAAAAAAATCCATTGTTTAATGAGCCGTGCTTTAGTGTAAGTGTGAAGGAGTTAAACTTGAGTTTCTTTTGAAACTTAAAAAAATATAAATCAATGAATGAGTCATCTCAGTTCTTCCTTCTTAATGTTACACTGGAGTGCTTTGTTAGATACACACTCGAGCAAAAACAAACAAGAAATCCATCATCGCCTTCACTTTAAGTACTCCTCCGCCCTGTTTTCCAGCATCATGCTGTGCAGCCTTTGACCTGTTCTGTGATCCCTTCTTAACCACAGCTCATCACACAACTCAGAATCCCTAGCCTGCCTTTTGTAAGGAGTAATCATCTTCCTTTATGCCCYACGCACCCCTGACTCTCAGCCTTGCTCTTTAGACCCACCGCTCGACTTGAGCTCTGCGATGCTGTTGTAAAGAATGTGTCCCACGCTGCCGGCAACGCGGATGAAGTCGTGGTAATTCAGACTGCAAAGTTGATGGCCGTCCATGTCGAAATTTTGGAAAGGAATGCTGGAGGCGTCGATCTGGTGGATGTCCATGACCTGCTGCAGCCACTCCCACACCTGGTACTTACTCCAGAACTGAGGCTGGGAGTCGTGAGACCACAGGCGACTTGTGTAACCAGACATCACCAACGCACCTGAACAACAAGCACTATTAGTCAGGGAAAACAAAGGAAAGCTATTTTTGGCGTAACCTAAAGCTTCATCTAGTGAGTAAAACATCAACGGACAAATTGTCAATGATTATTCTCGAAAGCAGTTTACAGAAAGAGCTGTTAAGACTTTTCTCTGTTGGGAATCCTTGTTTTGTGTTTCAGAGCTCTGGGCTCACCAGGTGAGAAATCCATCATCGCTAAACGATTTTCATTAAGTGTTCTAGCTACAGTACATGGAGCTGGATTGTTTAATAGAGAGCAATAAAAACCCTTAAGCAGAGCATTTTACAGTATTTTCTTCAAGCGTTTAGGATGATATTCAGACAGTTTAATCAATGATTAATGTCAGCTCTGAGTCTAAATGTAATCCTGTGAAAGGATACAGTGAGTTTCATAGGTGTTAATGTGGGTTGTAATGCTCACCATCAGGATAGAGGCTTGCAGGTCCCCAGGTGGAGGTCAGCTGGCTGTCCAGGGCGGTGGATGGAATCATGCTCATATTGTAGCTTTTATACTCAGCTGTACCATGGCCCAGGGACTGCGAGAAGAAAAAAAGGGTATATTATGCACAGAATACTATAAAACCAACACTTTTATAAAGCATTTACATGTTGGATCCACAAGTCTGTCAACGTGTTTTAATGGCTCGTGCTTGTCCCGACATTGATTCAAACTTCCTTATTCCTGCATGCACTTAATATTTATAAGTGTTCAAAGAATATTTTTTTATTTTAATGATGCGAACAAAGATATTTCTATATATTCTAGATATTTTTGAACATTAAAGCAATTAAATTTACTTGAGAAGAACCTAAAACTAAAATACTAAACCCCTGAATGAGTATCATAGACGAACCTTACATGTCTACAGTTATTACCATGATTATAAAAGGTGTTGCTCAATCAACCAGGCACAGATGTCAACATAAAACTGTATTAATGAGTTTATGTATTGCATTTGAATGTATGCTGTTGCTGAAATAACTCTCATAGGGCTCTAAATTGTGGATGACAGTTATTTTACTTCTGTCCAGTTAATGAGTTACATTAGCAAATTTGTCTGTCGGGTTTTATTTTTAATCGGAGCAAATTTGTTTGTACACTGTGTAAAACAGTTTAATTTTCTTTGTCAGCAATGACATCAAATTAGTTTTGCGCTGTTTGCATTCAGTAAAAACTCAAAACTCTTCATGTAACATTAATATCTACATAATGACAGTACTGTCTTTCTATGTGAGGTGATTTTTAACATCTGAATGAATAAAGAGTCGTTCTGAACAGTAACAGGATTCTGAGTCCTCCCCCCTTTCTGCATTTTGCCAATGTAAATTGTAAATACAGACATGTTTCAGACTTAACTCGAAGTATATTTGCGTGAAATGCAAATAAGCTGGTGTTAAAATTTCACCAGCTTCACTGTTTTGGTGGTCCAAGTGTCGCATGTGTACAATAGCTGAATTGTAGCTTTCTCAGTTTGCTGTTGGCATCAGGTTCTAACTGTTTCTGCCACACAGAGATGCATTATTTCAAGCACAAGCCAGACTCGTCATCGACAGTTAATAATGCTGCTGAGATAAACGTCTACACATTCCACTCTCTGTCATGATCACATTTTAGTTTAATTTTATTAGATGTTTTGCTAATTATTGTGAACAACTAAAATATGAAAAAAAATACTAAGAATGTTCATAAAGGTAAACAACCTTTTTAATGACAGTGGTTGGAATGACAACTGACTGGTTGGTACACAGTTATCTGTTATGTATTTGTTTGCAGGTAATGAACAAACTTCCAGCAAACTTTGTCATACACTGTTATCTCAATAGCAAATACCTTGCTATCTATTAAACCCATACATGGCATGCACCTTCAAAAACTTGGGAAAATAAGTTTTAGAACATGCAGCAATGATTTTTGAATTCATTTTTTTTCTTAAAGGCTGGTGCCACGTGCAGGATCAACTCTTAACCTGCCTTTGCTAACATGACATGTGCTGTGTTAACCCTTCATATTTACTACTGCCAAGTTCATATCTTATCAAGAAGGCAGAGAGAAGTTTATGTCAATACAAGAGTCATGCAGCGCTGCTAAAGAAAATGAGTTTTATAGATCTGATTCGTTTTAGCTGAGTCATGGTGAAAGATCAGTTATTTGCTTTGATGTGGGTGATAAGGTGCTCTGTTTATTCTGAAGAAGTTCATCTGGGCAGTGTGTCGTAATGTGGTCTTTGCTTTCATTTTCATTTTATTTGTATCTTCGGAGCTGCACTGTGACTTATCGAGTTAGAACAGTTTCTATTTTTTTATAATCCTCTGTCTCAGTTCTTTTTATTTTACTGTATTTAAATCTGGGATGAAAGAATATTACAAATTCAAGTTTTCTGTAACATCAAAAGGCAGAAGAGAAGGATTCAGAGCTCTGAAGTTTACAGAGTAAATTCAAGACTAAAGGAAGTGAAATGAAGTTAAATATATTTATTTGTTTGTTTAACCTTTTTTTTAAGCAGGAAACACCTGCTGGCATTAAAAATCTTGTTTTCAAGAATGCTCTGGGACTTTCCAAGACAAACGCAAGACCAAATTCATTTTTAGGAAATCTGAATTCTTTGTAAAGTCATTCACAAATAGATTTGTTCTTTTTTTTCCTACAGTACGTAATGATCAGTTCTGAGATTGATTAAAACTGCAGACGTTTTATAAAAATCCAAATGAAAACTATAACTGTCAATTTTTGTCACAAAAAAAACTTAAGAAAAAAATTTAACTTAAACAAAAAAATGAACACATGCAGCCTTATTAAATTAAAATTTATCACCTACCAGAGCAGAAGAATTGGGTCCCACTTGACCCAAAATAATACACGTCGATCAGTTCAGCTTGTGGAGACTCTGCTGCACTTCCTTTGTAAACTCAATAAAGTGAGCTGTCTGGCTTTCCAAATCTTTGAATCAATACATGCATGCAGACACTACAGGTGCTGCCTTGCCACAATGGGATTTTTATCCTCTCAACTTCCTTATACTGCTCCAATTGGCTCCCTACAGGTTCGTACAAGGTCGGTATTTGCATAATGCACACCCACGCACACCTACAGACACACACCTGACATAGCTTTTACAATTGTTTATTGAAAAACTTTCTCTGATGATCTTGATCACATAAAATGACACTTAATGAAGTAAAAAAAGATCACTTGAACATTTTAGGACAAATGCATGAGAGGTGTTCAACTAAACAGATTCAGACACTTTTTGTTTTTCAGTTGTGCCTTTCTGCAGGGGTTGGTTAGAACTTGGGTTCGAAACACTCGAGCTGCCATAGCCAAACACGTAGAAATCCACACAACGAAAAAATAAAAAGTTGCCTTACATAGAGTTAAACAGTAACATAAAAAAGTCTCAGTTTTAGTATGTGGCACAATATTTCCTTTTCCTGCCACATCATGGAGAATGGTGAGTTGACAGTTTACGTAGGAGAACCTTGGAGAGTTTCACGCAATTCTGTTGTGACAGTTTTTAGAAATGCATGGTGGAAAACGTGCATGAAAACAATTCAGATATCAGCTTTGCTGAATGTAAACCTTTAAAATCGTGTTTTTTTTTTAGCTTGGACTTTGCTAATTATTAATTTCATGTTGCATGCACGTTTATGATCAGTTCCTAGAATGAGTTGAATTTAGTACCATTCATAATTATGTAAGATCACTGTCACATAACAATTGTATCAGCTTAGTTTTTGCTAACATGCAGGAATGCTRAGGCATTCTCATTTGGACATCTCTCAAATCCCACTGAGCATCAAGTAAGATTGACATGGATAAAGATATAGTAAAAAAAAAATCAAGCTTCTTTTTAATGATTGGCCAATATTAAATGAAACATTTCCCCTTCATTTTATAAACATATTTTCTATCATTACCAATCCTTGTTGATGTATATTTATATACTGCAGAGATAAGGCAGTTACTGATACTAAAATATTTTTTTATCTCGTTAGCTCTYCTTGTTTAGATAGGTTTTACATAATCACATCTATCAAATTAAGAGTGCTTGCCTTCAAATAAAAACTAAAACCAAGCATTTTCTTTGCAGGAGCAAATGTGTCAAAAAGCAATTTTACTGAACTTTGCCTCTCCTTAAATATGCTGTTTCCTGACAGTGATCAGAGGGAGTTCAGGCATTCTATTTTTGCTTGACTCCAATTWAGGTTTGGGCAAATTTCAATATCTCTGATCAGAGATCTAAATCTGATCTGTAACCACACTGTGCCGTTTGAGACCAGAAGCACGAACATCATCATGTTTGTGATTGAGATACCTTTGAAGGCTGAACTGAATGATGGGGAAGAAATGTATGTGAAGAAAGTATGTCACGCTACTCTCAGAGCTTTATTGGCAGTGTCGAGTAACACRATTTGATCCAGATAAAATGAATGTTTTTAATAAAATAGTCAGTAGTATTGGTTTTCTAAGGGATAAACTCATATTATGTTATTAACAAGATGTTTTGTGTCTCAAAAATAAACATAGTGTAMAATAAACAGGAAATGCACCATTAAAGTGCATATTTCCACATCCCAGCTGGTTTACTTTAATGGCTGTTCCTCAAATAGACGGTATGATCCCACCTGCTTCTGCATGCTCTTCAGTTCATTCTGAGCTCACTTTCGAAGTTCCTTCTTTC